AAAAAAAAAAAAAAAAAAAAAAAAAAAGAACGATCGCTCGTTTAACGCTGATAACGAGTTTTCATGTTGCAATGCTTCGTTTGTTTCAGACGTAGTATCCTTTCTAGTATAAAGGAAATAACTATTCATAGGATAAACATAAAGACCTCAAAGTTAATCCTTAGAAATAAACGATATTGTTAGTTATTAATTGCATGCAACTTTTTGGTATACTGACGGGATGTACGTTGCAATAATTAACTATATCGTTTAATCAACTGCAAACGCAGTGTTATGATCTTTTAAATCAATTCCTCTTTCAATATATATATATATATACATAATAAGACTCGTAAATGAATTGGTTACCATTACACGTACACCATTCGCGTTTTATACGTGTTCTTCAAAAGAATATTCGAAATAACTATACTTCCTTTAACATTCGATGATTTATGTACGATTTATAACCATCACCAGATGTATACTAATTTTTAACGTTTGTTAAGATATATTTTGTATTTATTACTATTTATCATACTATACATATATATATTTTAACAATGTTTAAAATGTAGCTGTAGAAACGAACGTCCGCATAAATAAAAATTGCGGTAGGCCATAATGTGTTCAGTCTTTCACTTACACCTTTCATGCTATGTTATTCTACAATTTATGGTATAGGTGTATAATTATTAATATTAAATGAATGAATGATTAAAAAAGGAAAATATGTACGCGAAATGATAATATATAACCATATATATTAATAGACCGCTTGTTTGTAATGTAATTATGTATAATCCGCTTTTTTCATATTTGTAAATCAAATTCCTAGATATCACATGTCAATAATGGAAAGAACAAGGGAGAAAAAATACTTATAACCGCGAAACGAATGCTATTTCAAATAATTGTTTGATAAATACCTTCAATTTCACATGAAGTGATACATTTCATTCGTAAAATCACAGATCACCTTCACAATATAAGACAAAATATGACGTATCGAGAATATGACAAATAGTTTAAATCTAACGAATCAGTAGTACCATCGTGCAAACGTAAACCTCGGTACTACGTAAGTCAAATATTTTCTTCGAAAATAAATAAAAGATTTTACAGAAACTTTGTTTAAATTATATAGATAAAAAATGCTATACCATAAATTGTAATACATTAAACATTTTTTTATTAATTTGTAAAGAAAATAGTATAAATATAATTGGGACTTCCGTTCCATCATAATTAATAGCAGTATTGAGTAGAAAATACGAACTTAATGCATAATCATAAATAGAAAAAAATTATAAAATATTTTAATCATTTTTAAAATTGATTTTATACACTTAAATACAAAGTAGAATTTTAACAAAACTAAATTATTCAATTATCAAGTAACATTTGAATGTATTAAATCAGCTATAGCTTTTTGCCTAAGTGTATACAATTTTTTCACCCACTTATCAAATCTGGCTTCTTGATCAATCATTATCTAAAAAAGAGGAAACATACAAAGATGAAATTTTACAAATAAAAGAAATTTTTATAGAAAAGGAAAAGATATATTACCGATGAATGAAATATACTCTCAGAACCAGAAGGAACTTCAGCCACTGCTGGAACTTGTATAGTATCCGCATTAATATCTATAACAATGTTCTTGAACTTCTTTTCCTTTGTATTAGACAAAAACTGTTTAGGTGTAAAACCTTCAGAATTGATTTCCTCTAACACTCCTTCTTTAAAACGAGGTTCAATTGGGAAGTCGTCTAAAAATAATTTTATGTTAAATTAATGTAGTTATTTTAAAATAACACTGATGTTGTCTTTACAATCGATATTGTCTCTATGTATTTCAAAATAATGTATATATATATATATATATATATATAATCATACCTTTTATCAGAACATTTTTAGTTTTTTCAGATACGATAGTTTTCACATTAGATTGTGAACTACTTGAACGACTTCCAGATTTTTCTCTTGAAGTTGATCTAGCTTTTCTTTTGGAACAATCCGAGGAGCGTGATCTGGAATGATATCTATGTCTCTCTCTTCCTTTCGAACTACTGTTTCTAGAGCTCTTGTAACTTTTTTGGCTTTGATCTTTATCCCT